AATAAATAATAATAATGATGATGATAATAATAATAATAATAATAATAATAATAATAATAATAATAGTGATGAGGATGATGATAATAATAAATATCTTGTTATATAACAGAGGCTCTCTCTTAACTTCGTTGTCAGCGTGCTGAGCTTTGGTGGAGATGATACTGGTTCAAATCCCTGTTGGGGCATTCTTGAACTTAGCTTTTTCGGCGGGAGATTTCAAGGCCTCCCGCCTGCTTGCCTTGGTGGTCATATTAGTGATTAGCCTTTAATTCGAAGATTTGATTTCTTGTTGAAGAGGTGTTAAACGCATGCAGTTTAATACTCACCGGTATTTGTATACCGAGTTCGTCTCATTATTTTATACTATCATAATTATTGTGGGTTTTTAAAAATGTATTAACATTTTTTTTCTTCTGTTTTGTACTTTCCTGGTGTCTGATGGATGACGACCTGAACTACTCCCTTCGATGAGTGGTGTCTCATCAAAAAGTTTGACATGTTGTGAAACGTAAAATTTGTATGTCCAATTTCTCAAAACTGGGTACTGAGCAGATGAAAATTGTAATTCTAGGGTAGCGGGTTGTGTGAACTTAGGCTCATCGGCGTTTTGCGCGTATGTTCAATTCGTGAGTGAAGAACCATAATATTTTATGAAGTGTCTCGTTCTGTCCGCTGGGACACTGTGTCCTGCCCAGCCCTGCCCAGCCCTGCCCAGCCCAGCCCAGATAATCCTGACAGTTGAAGAAGCCGGCCTCCTATATGATCTAAGTTGTTTCGGAAAGGAGGAGGGGGAGGCTTAAAACATTCAAAAGCATTAACTCTCAGTCATGCATTTATACTGGACTGTTTCTAGAAGAACACTTAAGCCGTGTATAGCTTTCCAAAATGATATAAAGGTTGGTGGGTTTTTTTTAGAATTCTGTAAATTTTCAACCGACATCTATTCCCCCAGATCGCCTTTGATATTCTGCATATTACAAAAATGATTGTTAATGTGTCATAGAGGTCATTTATATCGTTCAGGAGGCGAGCTGTTTTGCTTCACACTGCTTAAATATGATGTAACAACCCAACAGAAAGACGAAAATTCCACAAAATGATTTGTCCATCCAGGAATCGAACCAGTTTCTTTCACATGCTATGGTGAAGAACCTATAACCATTATACCACACAGTCCACCAGTGCAGAACAGATACGTGAAGTAACAGCCATTAGTATGCTGAGCTGTTAGTGGTAGGTCCATCCAGACAACGCCATGCCACCTCGTACTTGGAATGTTATAATATTATACAGCACCAATTTAATGTGTCCCTTTGCCCAGACTGACTGGTGTAATTCAATACTGTTTACAGAAGTAGTTCGTCAGCAAATTCTCCGTGTCGTTCATATTGGCCTTCTGGTATGTTTAAGCATAATATGTGCAGGAGCTGGCGTTTGGTGGGCGCCATTTTGTAACGGTTAGTTGTTGGTTGTTTTTTTTTCGGCTTTGCGCACAGAAGACGTGTGTCTTTGGGAAAGACATTTTACATGAATTTCCTATTTAACTCGGTCCTTTTGGAGGTGGAAGTTTAACTCGAAAATTCTGCCTCTTAAATAACCTAATTGTGTTGCTAGGGGCGTTAAACATAATATGTAATATATTATACCATTCCACCATTTGACAGAAGAGGACTAGTGTATTTTCCACGAATGTCTCCGTCTTTATATTGGGATACTGTAACCCCTCTCAGTCCCAGGATGACCCTGGCAGGCGTATTCGAAGCAACTAGCCTCCCAAATAATGTAAAATAATTGTGTCGATGGTGGCGTCAATCATTTGTTTAATGGATGCTGTGTGTTCCATTTCTATGTCTTGAGATTGTAATGGAGTTGAAGAAAAGAAAAGCACGTCGACTCTATAACGGCAATTTGTGTTTGAAAAAAAAAGTATGACACACAGACAGAAACAGCCATGTCAAAGTTCAGACATAGAACTTGTCACCACCCCCCCACAAAAAACCCAACAACAAACAAACAAAAAACAAGCAAAAGACAAAAAAAACCACATTACTTTTTCTGTTCACTACATGTCCCCCTCCCCGATCTCTTACGGATCACAGTCTTCCCCATCTCCAACTGACCACATTTACCCCTTCTGCTCCCTCTATCCACCGATGCCTCGTTCTTCTGTGTATGT